TCAGCTGTGACGTAGATCTGTCATACTGGTTATAAAGACACTACGTCTGTATAGAAGCCCTTCTCTACCACAAGGATGGAGAAAGCACGGCCTCTGTGTAGTCTTAGCTCTATTAGCACACAATCTCAGCTGCCACCGTGACTAGCCAGACCCTGGGAAGCCTGTCGTGTACCCCTCGATCAGTCACTGTGTCGTTTGGCTGCCTTTGTTTGATGATAGCTTCTAGTCATGCAGTGCTGTATTGCCATTGCCTAGGGAAAAATTTTAATTCATTGACTGAGAATGTTTAAAAAGATATACTTCTACACAAGAAACTACGTGGTCTCCTTTCAATTAATTCTTTGTGCTTTGTCTACTGTATGTTAACAGGCATGATAAAAAGGAATTGGGAATATGTGTGTGACCATAATAAGGAAAATGCCAAGATCCTGGGAGAGGAAAATGTCGATCCCAGATGTGAAGACAGCGAGAACAAGTTCGACTTTTCAGTGATGTCCTATAACATACTTTCACAAGATTTGTTGGAGGATAATTCACACCTGTACAGACACTGCCGGCGGCCAGTGTTACATTGGAGTTTTAGATTTCCCAATATTCTGAAAGAAATTAAACACTTTGATGCAGATGTAAGTGCAAAATATCAAAATTTTCCACGTAAGGACAAATTGGATTAAATACCTCATTTGTGCATTTGGGGATGAAATGGTTTCATACATTCTATTTGAGGGGAAAGAAGAGAAGATACTAAGGAAGGGTAATGGAACAATGCTTAATGAGGCATTGTGACTTCCAAGAGTCGTTTGCTGGTGAATGGTTGTATAAATAATCAAAATAATCTTCTGAATCTGAAAAGGATCTGAAATGTTTTAAATGTTGGCCAGTTTTGGGACAAGGACTGGCATACTAGGTAACATACGAGGTAAATATTTTTATTTGAATTTTTAATAATTTATGCAGAAATTCCATCTAGATGATAGCATTCAAAGAAATCAATCCAGAACACTAGTACTAATTAACACGTAAATTCAGGAAACATAGTCTGACATAAATTAAAAATATGCCTTTTGCAAGATAGCAACTTATAGATGGTAAGAAAGCGCCCTGTGATTAAAGGGCTAGGGTTTTGAGATTGCTCAAATTTGGAGACCTTAGTTTGATTTATAAGTAACAATATTATAAGTCTTTTATTTTGTTCTCAAGTTTGGATTTTGGAAAGCCTATTTCTTTTTTTAAATCAGATTTTCTTGGTGCATATTAAATATGCATAATCTGTCCATCTTAGAGGACTTGTGCCTGTATGTGTACAACTTGATTTCTTTTTTCTCCATTCTCCGTGCTTCCCTTTAGCCTCCCTCCCGACCACATTTACAAAGCTTTGTTTTCATTTTTTCCTTCTTGTCTCAAGAAGCCTAGTTTTTTGTGCTTTGTTTTGTTTTTGTATTTAGCATGGGGTCTATAGGGTCTCACTACACAGATCAGACTTATAGTGATTCTCCTGTGCTCAGCCTCCCAAGAGCTGGGATTACAGGCACGTGCCACCACGCCCAGTCTCATTTGCCATCTCAGCGCGCCCCGGGGGCGGGGCCAGAACTGCAGGCAGGGGTTGAACCCCAGTCACTGCGCTCTGCCTAAGCAGGCGCTTTAGTCCGCCATGCCATCTGGCCGGCCCAAGAAGCCTAGTTGTAAAGATGAAAACAATGGAAAACTCACACTTGGATCTCTTTATGTTAATCCAAGCTGTTTTTTTCTTCCAAGGTACTTTGTCTACAAGAAGTTCAAGAAGATCATTATGGAAAAGAAATCAGGCCAAGTCTGGAATCACTGGGTACAGTGTAACTTATTTTAGCTAGATATGCTTTTGAAAATTTGTGAGTTATTAAAGCATAACTTGCTAATCAAAGATATATGGCATATTTGGGCTAAAAAAAATCTTAATTTTAAAACTGTATTTATTTCAAAAAGTCAAGAGAAAGAGAGAGGGGTTTCATTTGGAAGTTGCTCATTGCCCCGGAGTTGCCTTGCCTGCCACTACACATCTCAGGCTCTGAGCTCCACAAGCGCAGGGATGCTCTGCCTGTGCATCATTTCAGCGGCAGGGTTGGAGCTTTGTAACAAGTCAAAGCTTAAAGCCTTTGGAGAAATGCTTTTATAAACAGGTCATCTGTAGCCTCATATATTTGAGAAACATGCTACTTTGCATGCATTCAGCAGCTAATTTTTAGTGCCTGTTCTAGACAATGGAATAGGGAGAACACTGGGCAAAACAGGTAAAAAAGTTTCCTCCTCTGTAGAGAAAAGCCAACAATAAACCAAATATGTGACGAATGTGCTTAGTAATGATAGCTTTCCAGAAAGAAACAAGAAAGTGCAGTGGAAGAGATTTTAAACAAAACAATTAGACAAATTGATATTTGAACAAATACTTAAAAGAAGTGAAGAAATAAGCCAGGCTCAGAGCAGTCTTTGCCACAGAAAGTCCTGGTTTTTAGAATGTGTTTGAGGTGAGAGAGGCAGCCAGTGTACTGTGAATGGAGTGAAGGAAAGAGTTACAGGCAAAAAAACACAGTGATTAGGGGTGGGGAGGAGGGTAGATTGGTAAATCCTTGCTGTCACTGCGGTGACTGAGTTTGACTGGGTTGGAACTGGGCGAGCGTCGATACACACTGGTGTAGTGTGGCTGAAAGTTTGCCGGTAGACAGAACTGTAAACCCTTCCTACACATTTTGGTTACACCACTTACTACCGTCCTACGCGACTAATGGGGAAGTGATGTTCAAAGATAGTGGAGCTGTGTTTTGACATGTGTACTGTATGAGGACAGTCCCTTGTTTTAAATTCATCTCTCCTACAGGTTATCACTGTGAGTATAAGATGCGCACAGGAAGGAAACCTGATGGCTGTGCCATTTGCTTTAAACATTCCAAGTTTTCACTCTTATCCGTGAACCCAGTGGAATTCTACCGCCGTGATATCCCTCTCTTGGACAGAGACAATATTGGATTAGTTTTACTCTTGCAGCCCAAAATGCCCTGTGCCGCCTCTCCAGCTATCTGTGTAGCTAATACACATCTGTTGTACAATCCTCGGCGAGGTGACATTAAGCTGACCCAGCTGGCAATGCTACTGGCAGAGATTTCCAGTGTTGCTCACCAGAGAGATGGCAGTTTCTGCCCCATTGTTATGTGTGGTGACTTTAACTCTGTTCCTGGTTCTCCACTCTATAGTTTCATAAAGGAAGGAAGGTTGAATTATGAAGGACTTGCTATAGGAAAGGTAAGTGGTCGCTTTATCGTTACCAGGAGATGAACTTCGTTGCTTTGTGTCCTCACGTGAGGGCTGCTCATTATGTACGTGGCTGTTGAAAATCTCAGAGGAGCCAGTACCTCGCTGGCAAGCTGCAAGGGCCTTCCCAGTAGCTTGCTACGCTTGACCCGTGTCTTTGGCAACATTCTGCCTGAAGGAATTAGCAGGCAGCCAGAAAGGGGGAGGACAGGCGGGGCGAAGAAGGAAAGACATTAGCAGACCTGGGGACCTCACAGAGAAGGAGCATGTACAGTGATGGTGGGGTAGAACTTAGCATGCTGGGTGTGGGCGACGCAGCTGGCAAAACTAATTAATGGTTATTGTATAAGTTTTCCTTTCTATAATGAGATATAATTTCATTCTTTAGCTTAATATAATTTAGCCCATGCTATTACTGTTTTTGTACTTTCCTCTGCTTACTATAAATCACTTAATTCTCAGTATACTTAACCAAAGTAAGCTCTACTTCACTGGAATTTTGAGTGATAGTTTTAAAATTTCAAAGAGTTGATCTCTCAGTATTTGATTAGCTGAGAGCTGCAGACCATTTCAGTGTTCAAATAGAGAAAAAATGTAGGGGAAGGTTGTCATTTTCAAGTAAACAGTGAGCGCTTTCTGAAGTGTATTTGAACATGATTTTATGTGCACAAATAATTAATGAACAAAGAAAGGGTAATATTTACCATTCTTGAAATACCTTTTATTTAAGACATAACTTTTCAATAATACATACATTATTTAAAATCTATTCACTTAAGACACCTGTTGAAATTTTGTTTAGGTATCTGGCCAAGAACAGTCTTCACGGGGACAAAGAATTTTATCTATTCCCATTTGGCCCCCAAACCTAGGTATCTCCCAGAACTGTGTGTATGAGGTACAGCAGGTACCAAAAGTAGAAACATCAGGTAAGTCTTCACAGTGTTGTGACAGCGGCTGGGGAGTAGGGTGCCCTTGAAGATATAAAACTACATTTTGAAAGGGATAGCATCCCACGGATGAATAGGCACCATTACATGGTCATCCCTTTGTTTTGTAAGAGCTCCAGGTTTACTTGTTACCGTGGAACAGCTGAAAGATCTGTGCATGAATTACGTGCATGTTGCCCTGGAATTGTCGCATTTTCTTGTTCCTAATTCTGGAGGCCAGCAAGCCACAGGCTCCAGGATAAAAGGTGTAACGAGGCCTGGCCCGACGCGGCACAGAGACTGCTGCTAAGCGAGAGGGCGAGACTCGGGGGACGGGCCAAGACGCCATCGGTGGGCTCATGTGTTTCTCTCTGTCCTCACAGATGGCGACTTAACACAAACACAGCTGGAGAAAACAGAGGTCCTAGTAACAGCCGAAAAGTGAGTTCCGGAAAGCAACGGTAGATAGTTCCTATTGAATAAAAATCATTTCTCAAAAATCACTTGGATTGAAAATGAAGGTGATACTACTTCCTGATGGGAAAGAGTGCTTGCTTGCACGTGAAGTCGACAGGGATCGGAGCAGTTCAGCTGCTTTTAGCTGTGGGATTTGGGGCAAGAAAGTTCCCATCTCTGAGGTGGTTTCCTTGTCTGTAATTTTGGACTGTGAGGTTTCAGAGAAACAAAGCAGTGCAGTGTCGGATGCTAAGGTGGTGTTAGGAAAGCAAGCAGTTTGTCTGTGGGCCTAGACCGACCAGCTCATGTCTCTGAAGCTTACTGCCACTACCTGTTTAAACAGTGGAAAGGTGGCAGGAAAATACTGATTTTCAGTCTTTTTTGACTTACTAGAGCCCAAAACAATCTGAGACAATTGATCCAAAAAGAATGTGCCAGTAGAAAAGATGATTATTTTTGTCTCCTGAACTCTAAGAAGAGGACATCAGAGGTAGAAAGATAAAAGTCTTGGATTTGTTATTAAAGAAATGTGAATTTTTTTAATACATATATTTGGTGCAGGGTCTCACTGCGCAGCTCAGACTCGTAGTGATCCTTCTGTTTCAGCCTCCCCAGCTCTGGGATTGCAGGCATGAGCCACCACTCTCAGTCTTGGTGGCCGGCTCAGTGTGCCTGGTGGTGGGGCCGATGTGGCATGTAGCGCTGGGGATCGAACTGCAGTCCCTGGCTTGCCTAAGCAGGTGCTTGGTCCACTTAGCTATCTCGCCAGCCCTAAGAAGTGTGAATGTTTGGGGCTGTGGTTGAGGAATGGTTGTATTTTAATAAGTCTTTCTGCAAGATTCTTGAAATGTTTTATTTGCTTTATTTTGTAACTTTAAAACCAAATTGGAAACCATCTCCTAGCCCTGAAATGCTAAGTTGTTTTACAATATTTGTTCATTAAGTGAAGGTTCTTAAGCATGTCATTAATAATTAAAACTCGTTAGAATGCTAGTAACTGAGCTTTTTATTGTCTCCCTCCATGTATAGCCTCTCAGTAGCTCTCTAGGAATAAGTGAGTTGGCACATTATGACATGGTCTGTTTAAATAAAACATCCACTTCTGGTCTCAGTGTAGGGAGTAAATGTGAAATTACCATCAACAGGAGAGGTTACACAAGTCATGGAAATCTTGCGGATAGTAAGTACTTTCTCTTTTCAATTTAGATTATCTTCAAGTTTACAGCACCATTTCAGCTTGTCCTCCGTTTACTCACATTACTTTCCTGACACTGGGATTCCAGAAGTGACCACCTGTCATTCCCGAAGTGCCATAACTGTGGATTATATTTTCTACTCTGCAGAAAAGGAAGACGTTGCTGGGCACCCAGGTAAAGACTAAGTGTAATCTTCATTCTGCTTGTGAGAACAGGAGCTCAAGTGCCAAGGCTGACATGGAAAAAGTTGGCTTCATCTAATGAAGTCTCAGATGTAGAAGTTAAAAATGTTTTTAAGTAAACAGATTGGAAGTATATGTGAAGAAATCAGATTGCCTGCATTTGATCAAAAAGGCAATAAAGCAAATTATTACCTAAGAATTAATTAACCCTCAGTGCTTCTGTCAGTTGCACTTAGCTCCTGAATTACAGGGCGTGTATATTGTCCTTTATTCTTGCTTCCCATAAGTGCACCATTGCACGTACAGAAACTGAATCTGTTCACGGTCCTCGTACATTTCTGTGGTGCAGTTCACTAAGTGTGCTGCCTTCGTTGTAGGCCAGGCTTACGCTGCCAACACCAGAGGGGGGTGTCTGCAGCCCCTCGAAGGTGGGCTTTTTCTGAAGAGGAAGAGAAGTGTGGTAACACTGTGTGTTTGCAAAAAACAAAGGCACTAACACTTTTCTTTGTATTGGCTCAATGAAAATCAGACTGAATAATGACAGGATTTAAAACGAGGAAGAAAAGAATAATTGGAAATCTAAAAATATTCAGAAGTCCTGAAAGTCCCAAACAAGACAGTTTGTTTTCCTTTTCTTTCTGTTCTGCTTTTTGTGTGGTGTTTTCCCTTTTCTGGCTCATCCTTTCCCTTCCATGAGGGAATTACTATGTTGGTAACACTCAGGAAGGGCTCATTCCTCCCACTAAATCGACGCTGTGAGCCGAGCTTGCTCCTTTTCCTTTGTAGTCCGGCCAGTGATGTCATGTGTACAGAAAGGCACTAGGTGGCACCAGAGTCGTGGATCGCCTCAAATCTCAGCAGTCAGACACCGTGCCACCTTTTATTCTGCTTCCAGGGCAGCTCGCAGACTGAATGATAACTTATCTCCTCTCACCTTATAAACTACTCACACGGCTGTAGTTTGGGTCTGTTCAATTTTTCACAAAAAAAATGGCTGGTGGATGAATTAAGTGGCTGTCAATCCCAGAATACTTCATAAAAATTTAAAGGCTGGGTGTGGTAGCACATGCCTGTAATCCCAGCACTTAGGCTGAAGGAGGACCCTTGTGAGTTTGCGACCAGCCTAGGCTCCAAAGTGAGCTCAAGGCCTGCCCGAGTTGCATAGCAAGACCCTGAGTGGTGGGATTGCAGACTTGCACCACCGTGCCCACTTTTACAAATTTTATGTGCTCCATTAATTAAAGATTATTTGCAGAACATTTGAAATTCTGTGTAACTCAGCAAAACTTATTCTAAAAACTTTCATATTAGTCTTTTGGAGCCAGTCTCAAGTTCTGTTTCATTATTATTTAGAAAAAGTATTTGTATAATTACTTTGCAGCAGCTTGTTGACAGTTTCCCTAAATCTCTGTGTGTTTCTTTAATGGAGGAGCTGTTGCTTTGGCTGGTGGCTTGAAACTTCTCGCGAGACTCTCGCTTCTCACAGAGGAAGACTTGTGGACTGTTAACGGACTTCCAAATGAAAATAATTCCTCTGACCATCTGCCTCTGTTGGCTAAGTTCAGACTTGAGCTCTGACTCTTCTTTGATTATGTACATAATTTTTTTCAAACTTACGTCCTTTTTCAGCACATGTAAAGTTGTTGAATGTTTGCATGTTTATTTTTGTGCTGTGGAGTAACAGATACCAAAAGAAGTTTATAATAATTTTCTCTTTCAATAATGAAAAATATTTTCCTGACAAGATCTAAATACTCTTTATTGTAAAAGAGGTATAAATATTTTTTATTCTAATTCTAGTAAAATTGATAGTGGTTTTTAAATGTAGCATATCTTCTTTAGTCTGCTTAGGGAAGCATTTAATTCATGTTTTTGGCGAGCTTTGCGGTGGGTCCAGACTATACATGGGTTCTTGAAAAACACAGATTGGCTCCTTTCTGCAAGGCCTAGTTTCTTTGGGGAAGCCCTTCGTTGGGGCCTAATTAGTTCACCTAAGAAGTCACTGGGTCATTCACCAGTGTCCAACCATGCTAGTGTTTGAAGGCGCTTGGTAATGCTTTTTAAATAATACAGAAACGTGCGCCATCTCAGTTCTGGGCAGAACCACAGAACCTGCTTACAGCTGGTTTAGAGAGTTTGGGGAATGCGGGCTGCTGTGCAGTGAGGGAATGAATCCTTTGCGCGTGCCTGCTCTTCTGCCTCTGTCAGCCAATGCTGGCCTCAGAGAAGCAGAGCTGGGGGCTGGGCCTGGTGGTGGTTTTTTCCTTCTCTTTTTTACATTAGTTGCAAGAATAGATCCCTGGGTTAAGGGAGGCATTTATTTTACTGAACTGATTCTATAGACATTTATTTTATTAAGAAAGTTGTCACTGGAACAAAGGGGCAGCTATGAGACTCCTTGTGGTGCGACTCAGGACCTGAGGAGGTTGCGAAACTCTCCCTGCGAGAGCCTGACCTGCAGCCCGCAAGTGCTTGCGGGAGGGAGTCGTCTTGACTGCGTGAAGGTTTCTCCTTGGTTATCAGAGTTGCATTTGACTGCGTGAAGGTTTCTCCTTGGTTCTCAGAGTTGTATTTCACAGTGACACCCTCACGCAAGGTGGTGCTAACCCTTCATGAGCTGGTTGTTAGGAGCAGGTTTACTCAAAGGCCTACCATTGATTCTAGGTAAATGTTTGAATAAACATTTTTGAAACAAAGTAAGTGCAAATGTCCTTTTTTAAAGACAGTAGGCTCAGGAGTTACAGGCATTTTTACGAGGTCATCACTTTGCACTGAACTATAAACATTTTTACAGTGAGTTTTATTTTAACAGTCTTGGACTTTAAAATTTTTGTACCAAATAGCTTACTACAATTATTTTTAAAAACTAAATCAGATGAAAGCTCAAAAGGAGGCACATGGGTTATAAAGATTTATCTAGTAAGAATTGTAATAAGCAAGTACTTGTAAATGTTTGACTTCTTACTGTTTAAGTTTTATCTATAGTATTACATATATATATATAGTTCCCAGATTTTCCAGTTTTTAGAAGTAGTTTGCAGAATATTGGATGTCCTGGTTAGCAGATACAGTCATCATCTATTTGTAATTCTAGTATAATAGCCCTCTTTAGTATTGCGAAAAGAGAAATGAAAATTCATATATTAATTACTTATTTGAACTGAGTGGCCTTACTAGCAAGTAACATCTGTGTGTAGGTCATTGTTAGCAAGCTAGCATCCCCGAAAGCCTCTGAGCAAATTGCATTTTTTTATATCTAATGAACACATTGTCAATTTAGGCCCGTTTTCTGTTCTTCACTTAGATAAGAATTCTTAAAATTTCTTTCTACTTTAGCTTATCATGTGGAGTATTATTGTGGCCCAGAAGCCAACAGACTAGTGTGACCTCCTCACAAGTTTCTAAAGCTCCTCTAAAAGTGATTACTTAAATTTTCTGTTTATCTTTATTTTTTCTTGATCAGAAGAGTTGATAACTCTGCTGGAACCTTATATTTACCTGTTGAAACCACATCTCTTACAATCTTACATGTTTTACAATCCAAATTCTAGATGCAAAGAGAAATTATAATAAATTTTTGTTTTAGTATGGCTTTGTATATCAAGGTAATATGCATGTTTGACATCATTTTTTTTTCCTCCCCGGAACTTAGCTACTATGTGCTTTTAACTCTTTGCTTTTCTAGAAAAACAAAATGCCAGGGAATTCAAGGGCTTGGGGAAACAAGTGTGAAATCATTTGCACTTTGTATTTGTAAATTATGTAATAAATTACTATACCCCTACGTCTGTGCCTGCAGATTCTGTGGTGGGGTAGTAGGGTGTATGCTGGACTTGTGCTCTTCAAAACACTATTACTTCATCCCAGCACTCAGGAAGCTGAGGTAGGAGAATCAATGCAAGTCCAAGACCAGTCCAGGCTACTAAGTGAGCTAGCTCAAGGACAGTTGAACAGCACAGGGAGACCTTGTCTCAAAAAGAAACCAAACTATTCTTCCGTTACCTTTCAGCCTGTATTATGTAAGGTAATGCTAAAAGACCAAGTTAGTCAAGATGGCAAAATAATATTTTAATTTTTTTAGTCTGGAAATCATATTTGAATTTGGAAACTGTGAACGAGGACATGTGGAGGTCATCAATCAGCTCACTAGATCATTTATGAAATAGGAGAACAAGGAGATGTAGCATGCCACCATGTATTACGCAAAGCAAAGCGAAGCCATCTCTAGGTTGCCAGGATGGTTTTATTAAAGTCCCATGCTGTGTATAAGCATACGAGTGACAAGGAAAAAGGAGCTCGGAACATGCACTTATCTGGCACTCTCTAAAATACCGTTGTACAAGTTTTCGTTTACTTAGAAAAATACCCACTAAAACAGTCACAGTTTTCTTAAGATTTAAAATAAATGTATTGGCCAGAACAAAGTCCAAAAGAATAAACAAGACTCTGAATTGTGTGTCAAAAAAACTGTACAAGGCTGTACACAAAACTACAGCTTACAAAAGCCTTGGGTATAGGAAGAATACTGAATTCAGATTTTCAAAGTTTTATTTACCAGTATCAGTTAATAAAAATCTTATGAAACAGTTGACTTAGAAAAAGTGAAATGTTCATGATTTCAGTGTATATAGAAAATACTGAATGTCACTTTCTGAAATAAAGTGTACTCAAAACAGCACAATTAGTCTCATATTAAGATTTCTGTCCTTCATTTAAACTTTGCATCCATTGCCATTGATGGCCTAACTGTACAATTTCTTACATAATTACTTTTAAAAACTAAATTCCAAATTAACTTTTTTTTTTTATCTTTTGAATTACAGTCAATCTTAAGATCAATTGTGGGAAGTAAAATATGTTGGTTTTGTTGTTAGGTCATTTGGGGTGGTTGGGGTTGTATTATTGAGTTAGTATTTAGGAGTTGATGACTTTCCTATATCTGGTAGGAATTAATACTCGCTGGGCAGTAGAAATAGATTTTTTAAAAACATTTTAAATGAATTTTCATGTTTCTGGGACTTAACTCTTGCCTTGGGGACATAAATCTAAAAATCAAGGCATGTTGAAGCAGTTAGGTTACTAGTTAAATCATTAGGCCAGTTGGCAATTTTAAGGCTTACATGACAGCATATCAGCAAGAGTTTTATATTCCTGTTTTTTTCTTGTAGGCAACAAGAAGCCATGCAAGTAGTTGACCTTCTGTGCCTCTGACAGGGCGGTCCGTAAGCCCTGCGCAGCAAATGCTGCTCCAAGCTCCTAGAATGGCTACAGTGCTTTAAGTAGTCTACTACTGACTGATGTAATAAAGGTTCAGGTGCATAAAAAGAACACACGGGGCGAGTCAGTATTGTTTCAGAGTGAGAAGTGATTCACTGCCACTTCAAAGATCTCAGTACGTGTGGCCACGAGGTGGCCACAAATGGGCATAGTGTGGAGGCAGACGACAGTGGCTTTGGTGCTGCTGAGGGAGCCTAAGACCTTGCGCATGCTAAGCGTGAGCTCAGCAGCTGAGCCAGCCTCTGACCCTAACAATTACTTTTAAACTAACTGATAATACTATTCGCAAGGAAAGCAATTAAGTTCAGAATTTTTAACTGAAGTTGCACTTTAGCGAGATGTATGACTTCCTGTCAGGAAGACAAATCTTGCATTAATAACACTGAGTTTTACAGTGCAGGGAGCTCTTGGGCACACAACTGAAGAGTGAAGTTCTTTTGTTTTCTGCATCACCTCCAGACTGTCAAAGAGCAGTTTCTTAACTTCTTCATTACTTTCCTATAACCATCCTCAGAGAAATCCAGAGACGTACTGAGACTGAAGCTACACGTCTGTTCTCTAGCAGCCTTCATGTAGGGCTGTCCTTTGGTCTCATGAGTTGGCATGGTTGCCGCCATGCAAAGAAAAGCAGCAGAAGCCCTGCTCCTGCTATGTGGACCTTCCAGTCTGTGCATGTCCTTAGAAGCTACGCCATAACCAAGATACACAGCCTCCATGGATGGGGCACACAATACAGCGGGGCGCTAAAGGGCCAGCAAGATAGCTCAGCCGACTAAGCACCTGCTCAGGCAAGCACAGGGCCCAGGGTTCGATCCCCAGGCACCACATGCCATGCCGGCCCTCCCCCCAGGTGCACTGAGCTGGCCGCTGAGCTCAGGCATGGTGGTGCACGCCTGTAATCCCAGCGCTGGGGAGGTTGAAAACGAGCATCACTACAAGTCCAAGCTACATAGTGAGACCCTGTACCAAATACAGTAAAAAAAAAAAAAAAAAAAAAATGGAGCTCTGGATAAGATGATTTCTGTTTAAAAAAATTATTCTCTAATATTTTCCAGTACTTTGTAAATGTCCTGAAGTATGACACCAAAAAGCATGAGATACTGGAGGTATCACATATCACATTAGGCCTTAATATAAGACATCAGAACCTGTTTAACAGCAAGCCCTCCAGAATCAGAGCCTGACTTGAGTGTAGAA